TATCGTGTTCGACTCGACGACACGGCACTCGCCTATTGTGTTCGACTCGACGATCGTGTTCGACTCGACGATCATGTTCGACTCGACGATCGTGTCCGACTCGACGATCGTGTTCGACTCGACGAACGCAATTGACGATCGTGTTCGACTCGACTATCGTGTCCGACTCAACGATCGTGTCCGACTCGACGATCGTGTTCGACTCGACGATTGTGTCCGACTCAACGATCGTGTCCGACTCGACGTGTTCGACTCGCCTATTGTGTTCAACACGACTATCATGTTCGACTCGACGAACGCAATCGACGATCGTGTTCGACTCGACTATCGTGTTCGACTCGACGATCGTATCCAACTCGACGATCGTGTTCGACTCGACGATCGTTGTTCGACTCGACTATCGTGTTCGACTCCTCGATAGTGTTCGACTCGACAATCGGTCACTGTCGTGTTCGACTCGACGATCGGTCACTGTCATGTTCGACTCAACGACCGGGCAGTGTCGTGTTCGACTCGATGATCGGGCAGTGTCGTGTTCGACTCAACTATCGTGTTCGACTCGACGACCGGGCAGTATCGTGTTCGACTTGACGATTGGGCAGTGTCGTGTTCGACTCGACTATCGTGTTCGACTCGACGATCGGGCAGTGTCGTGTTCGACTCGACGATCGGGCAGTATCGTGCTCGACTTGACGATCGTGTTCGAGTCGACGATCGGGCACGATCGTGTTAGACTCAACGATCGTGTTTGACTCGACGAGTGTGTTCGACTCAACAATCAGACATACACGATGGCCGTCGTGTTGAACACGATCGTTGTCGTGTCCGACACGCTGGTCGTCGTGTCAAACATGATGGTCATCGTGTTGAACACGATTGTTGTCGTGTCGAATATGCTGGTCATCGTGTCAAACACGATCGTCGTCGTGTCCGACACGGTCATCGTCGTGTCGAACATGATGGTCGTCGTGTTGAACACGATCCTTGTCGTGTCGAACACGGTGGTTGTCGTGTCGAACACGATCGTCGTCGGGTCGAACACGATCGCCATCGTGTCGAACACGACCGTCGTCGTGTCGAACACGCTCGTCGTTGTGTCCGGCTCGTTGTCGTGCACAGCCGTCGTCGTGACCGACGTCATGTCGAACACAGTCGTCATTGTGTCGAACACGACCGCCATCGTATTGAGCACGGCCGTCTTCGTGTGCGACACGATCGTCGACGATTGTCGTCGTGTCCGGCACGATGGTCGTCGGGTCGGACATGGTGGCCGTCGTGACGAGCACGGTGGTCGTCGTGTCCGCCACGGTCAAACGTGGTCTTGGTCATGTTGAACGCCATCACGGTCAAACGCGATCTTGGTCGTGTCGAACGCCACGACCCCCACCTATGTTTCGACTTGCACGAAGTTTAGTGTGCTACTTCTCCCAGAACGCGAACAATGACACAATGTCTCGGGTACTCATGTGCGTGAATCGCATTCCTGCTCTGCAGCTGAACGTCATCCCCGCGCCTCCGCTCTGGCCAAGGGGGGAAAACGATCGCGGCCGACTGCAGTCATTGGATCGTCCCGATCGTCCGTATTCCCGGATCGGACGGTCCGTATTCCCAGATCGGACGGCCAGCAGGCGCGAGCGGAGAGCCCACCCGGAAAACCACATATATGAGGCAGGCCCACCACTCCCCATTGGAACATCCCGACCGTCAGTATCCCCGGATCGGACGGCCAGCAGGTGCCAGCGAAGGGCCCTCCCGAAAAACTATATATATGAGGGAGGGCCACCAGTTCCCATTTTCGTTTCAGCTCGGCAACACAGCAGTAGCGCAGCGCAGCGGAGGTTCGTCGACGCAACGCAGTGGAGGCTCGTGCCACAGCGCAGCGCAGTGGAGGCTCGTGTACAACGCGACAACGGAGCCCAGGGATTCGGTCCGTGCATAGCAGACCACCTGCTCGACGCGACGGCGGACCACAACGCTGTCGAGAGGCGTGTTCAGCGCGATGACAGTGTGAGCATACGGCCCAAGATCGCGACTTACAACCACAGTGGAGCACCCCGAGTTTGAAGGATCGGACGGTGAGGACACAACCACGGAGCCCAGATGCAACCACGTAACGCCACGTGGCACTTCCGGTCGTCGAGTCGAACACGATCGTGCCCGATCGTCGAGTCGAACACGATCGCGCCCGATCATCGAGTCCAACACGATCGTGTCTGATCGTCGTGTTGAACACGATCGTGCCCGATCGTCGAGTTGAACACGACATTGCCCGACAATCGAGTCGAACACGATCGCGCCCGCGACGATCGTGTTTGACACGACGACCAGCGTGTTCGACACGACAACGATCGTGTTCAACACGAAGACCATCGTGTTTGACACGATGACCAGCGTGTCGGACACGACAACGATCGTGTTCAACACGACGACCATCGTGTTCGACACGACGACGACCGTGTCGACCATCGTGTTCGACACGACGACGACTGCGGTGAAAGTGTTCGACAAAACTTGTTGACGTCACCGATAAACCAGCATTGGACACGGCCGTCCACGGAGGCTTTTCTCTTTCTCTGGCGAGTTACGCTAGCAGAACATAGTGACCGGGTGACTGTCTTTTGTCTCTTGTAGCACTGACTGCTTGTTGCGAGATTGCGCCACGACCCCCACCTTCTAATATACAATGGAGCTCCTATCGTGTTGGGCGCGACAATGGCGTTGCCGCAGTCGTTTGCCTTCTCAGCCTGGCTATCTGGAAACCCGTCGTGCGCCGTAGAACCAACTCTGCGCGAATTTTGCTGCGAATCCTCGGAGTCTGGTACCCGGGAATCAAGACGGGGGACCCTTCCGTGTTGGGCAAGGCGGTCGCGTTGCCACGATGGTTTTCCTGCTCACTCGTGGCAGTTTTTCTGCCCGCTCTTCGTGGGTGGTGATTGCCACGCGTGCCGGGAATCAAGACGGGGGACCTTTCTGTGTTGGGCGAGGCGGTCGCTTTGCCACGATGGTATGGTCGCGTTGCCACGATGGTATTCCTGCTCACTTGTGGCAGTTTTCCTGCCTGCTCTGCGTGGGTGGTGATTACCACGCGTGTCCAGTCGCTGTAGGTGATTACCACACGTGTCCAGTTGTTGTAGTTCCTGGAGTAATATAGAATCTTTCCTATCAATGCCCTCGTGCCAAGCTGTGTGCTACGCGCCAGAGTCTTCGCCGTTCCGCTGTTGGTGCCCGTTGGGTTTTGCGCGTCGTGGTCTCTGCCTTTTCGAAGCTGGTGCCCGACGTGACATGTGCTGCATTTCCTAGTGCGCGTCAAGATCTCCGCCTTTTCAATGCTGTTGCACGCTGTGTTTCCAGTTGCTGGTGCCCCGACTCGACATGTGCTACGCTTCCCACTGTCGTTCGATCTCCGACTTGGACAAACTCTTTCGCGTGTATTGCGCCTTTGGCACGGATTGGGCCTGACGACTGGATTGCCACCCTGATTCCATGGTCGTGTGTTATCCTCTCTCGGATGTTTCCTGTTCCCCTCCGTCCAGTGTAGGGCTGTGTTTCTCAAGGTCATTTGTACGGCTGTGTTTCTTACTGTTGTGTAGGGATGGTTGTCTGCTCCATTTCATTAACCTCTGATTTTCGCCTTTTGACAGTGGTCCGCTGTTTTGTTGTCGCATACACGTCTCATGCATGGCTTGTGGTGTGCATGCTATGCCACAGCAGACTTGCAGCACAACCTTGGAAAGCATGGACTGTGTGGCGTCTAATACAATGCTCAATGAGGATTTTCCTCCACCGCACCTGCCATTTTGTTCACAAGATGTTCGAAGTGGTCACGAACATGTCGATAATGCTCCAGAATCTCCTGCTCGTAAGATGTCACGAAATATTGCGTGTGCGGACACTACATGTGAAAGTGTGTATCCCGTCCTTCGATGCCCGGTTCGAACCTGTGAGCAGAGAGTGCTGAAGGTTAGGAGGGTAAGACCTCCTCTACTGACAATGACGCATCCGATGTCGATCGTGTTGTATGGGTGCCGAGGAGTTCACTTCGATATTTCGAGTACACAGGTCTTCTGTTTGGTGAGAGTGATGAAGGTGGTTCAGATTCAAGTGCTTCGGTGTCGTCTAGTGCTGATAGTTCTCCAGATAAAACCGATCTTCCGCAAACGTACGCTGACCGGAACAGTGACCACTGTTGTCGAAATGACGATGAGAATTGTGATGTGATCTCTGATTTCGATGACATTTTTCCAAAACGTCTGTCCTCAGAGAAGCGTCCTTATATTTTTCGTCTCAGAATGCCGCAGTCAAAGAAGATTCTACAATCAGTTCATTGAAAACTCACCAAAAAAACATTGGTGAGTGTGGGTGGGCAGGTTTGCTGTAAGCGAGAGTGTTGCGCTCAAATGACCCTGGACGACATCAAAGCTGTCCGGAGCGCATACTACTCTAAGAACCAGCAGAGCAAGGATACGTGGTGGGTTGAAACGTTGAAGAGGTTCACCTTCATAGAAGATGAAAAATAGATTGTTCAACTTGTTATGGGGAGACAAAAGGTGTGCATTAGTGCTTGGTGTTTCACACTGGGTGTATGTAGGAATACATTTCTAAAAAAAAGGATGACTTTGTCAAAAGGCTACAATATGCCGGAGCATGGCAGTACTGGACTCAGACGCACATCGGCAATATATGCGACGATGTACAGAAAACTAAGCTCCTTCGTGCGAGACAACGGAGATTTCATGCCCAATGACATGAAGATAAAAGAGGGGGAATCAAGAGTGGTGTTGAGATTGCCGGCTTGCTATAACAAGGTTGATATTTATAAGTTGCTAAAGTCGCAATTCGATAACATGGGTGCTCCTTGTGTTTCTCTCCAAGTTTTTTACAACACGTGGAGAAAGCAGTTCTGACATGTGAAATTTCATGACATCGATCAAAACTTCGCGAAATGCGAAAAATGTGTTGAATACAAAGAATCTATCAATTCCGCAAAGTTCGTGCGTGTGCGTGAGTACTTTGTTTCGTTACGCGAGAAACACTTGGATTTGGAGCTCCAACATCGTGCTGCGTATGAGGTGTGGAAGGATGAGTCGAAGAGACCGGGTTCCAACAGTTTGTGCATCATCATTGACGGCATGGACCAAAGCAAGACCAGCATTCCACACTTTGGCGGAGAGAATAAATCGAAGACATTCGCAAATATTTCGATGTTGAAAACAAATCTAACAGCTATTATTGCACACGACCGCTCACCATCGGTCCATGTTCACACATGGTACCCTTGCTATCCACATGATTCTAATGTTGTAGTGTCATCCATTATGAAAGTTCTCCGCGACATCCAGACGACGAGCGACTTGCCTCCTAAGCTGAGGATACAAGCTAACAACTGTTGGAGAGAAAACAAAACCAGATACGTTTTGGCACTCGCTGCAGCTTTGGTGAAATTTGGTTTCGTCAAAAAAGTCGAATTCGGTTTTATGTTAGTGGGACACACACATACGGACGTTGATGCCACTTTCAGTCATTTCTCTCACAAACTGAAAATGCACGATGCATATACCATGCTCGACCTCTTCAAGCTCATTGCCAGTTCTAAAAAAGAACGTCCATCGTGCACAGTCATGGATGAAATTGTTGATTGGCGAGTTGCTGTTAAGCCCTTCCTGGTCAAGAGACTGACTGGTCATACTCGTCCACATGCATTTAGGTTTTATATGCAGGATGACAATCCTGTGTTCTAGTGGAAAGAGTATTGCACCTCTCCTGAATGGTCTGCTCCAGTCTATTGCTTTAAACGAGATGGAAACAAAGCATATGCTGGACCCGAATGACCATTCGTGCCATCACATGTTCCGCCGTCAGCTTCTCTGCCTACTAAAGATAGAAATTCGGATTTCGAATCGGGAATTGAAGGTGTGAAGACGTTTGTTGGGTGGTTGGAGAACAAGCGGCACGAGTGGTTGGGAATGAAAGATGAGGTTAACTTCTCAAAGGAGAGTGCTCTTTCACACTGGAAAACTTTCCTCGAGACAGTGGAGGAGCATTACGGGTCTGGGTTTGCGAAAACTTCACTCAAGGCTGGCTTCTGGCCCTCACAAGACAAAATTAAGAAGGATGATCCAAATGATATTGATATTGCCTTCGTCTTGAAGAGCAATGGGAATAAGGAGCCGTTGTTCGTTGGACCGGCCAATGAGCGTCCAAAGGCGGAGCTCAACCCAGTTGTGGATGTAAAAAAAGGTCAAT